CCTTTTTAGAATTGAGCATATGGTTAGCACAAGAATTTTGAACTTTTGTAGACCCTGTTCCCAGTAAAACCAATAAGATTTTAGCATGCTATTGTGATTCACTCTTATTTATTGTCTCACCATCATTTTTTAAAATTAAAACACATGTTACTATAATATTCCCCAGTAGATTCTAATAAATATTTATTGACTTTAGTTAGAAAGAGCACCTGCTCATTATTAGTTCATTTTGTGCTGGTCTAGTAGATTACCATAGGCTGGGTAACTTATAATAAACAGAAATTTATTGGCTCACATTTATGGAGACTCAGTATCAAGATGTCAGCTTCTGGTGAGGACTTTCTTCTTGGGTCAGGAAGATGGGAGCACAGAAGGCGAGAGAAAGCATGAACACAGTCTGAAATAACAAATCCCTTCAAGATGACCCAACAACTCCTTCTAAGCCCTGTCATTCCAACATATGGACTTTGGGGGCACATTCAAACCATAGCACATTGTAACAAACAAAGAAAAAAATCCATGTCTTGAAAACAGCACCTTCAACATATGAAGCATCATGATTTAGAGACTCTTAGACATGAATACTTTGCATCAGCTAAACATGCGCTTTTCATATTTACTAGTCTTGGAGGTGGCATTCACTGGAGCAAAACCATAATCTTTGAGAAATTAGAAATGGGGTTTTAGTTTTCTTCTGAAAATTAGTCACCACAATTAGCATAGGCTAGAACAAATCAGAGATCATGAAACTCACCTTTTAAAGAGACTTCTTGGTTAGGACAGATTTATTTCAAAGTAGGGAATGTGCTCTCTACAAAGTAGGTGGTCAGCTAAGGAAACACTGACAGGGTGAAGTCACTAGTGCAAAGGGACCCTGGCTATTTAATCCCTGTGCAGAGGAGGGGGTCTTTTCCCATAGCTTCCATTTGGTGGCTTACATTAGCAAAGTCATTCCCATTGGGCATGGGCTCTTTTATGGTTTATATCTATATGTAGATGTCCCCCTAAAGGCTCGTGCACTCATACATGGTGCTTTTGGGAGATGACTGGATCATGAGTGTGTGGTACTAATCACTAGATTAGTTTACTGATGGGTTTAAAGCTGGGTGAAATATTGTGGGGTGAAACATTGGGAGGTGAAATCTGGTAGGAAGAGGTAGATCACTGTGGGTGTAGCCTGGAAGGGTATATAGCCCTCCTTCTCCTTTGATTCCTTACCACTTCCTGCTGCCATGTCATGTACATATTTTCCACTGCAATGCCCGTCTGTGATGCCACCCTGCCTTGGATCCGGCCAACTATGGACTGAAACCTCTACTAGCTGTGAGCCAAAATAAACCTCTCCTCCTTTAACTTGACTGTTGGGTATTTTGTCCCAGCAACAAGAAAGTAACTAAGACAGGCTCTCTCAGGCTGTTACTTGGATGCCATAACACTTTGAATTCCTATGGTTAATCTTCCAATTACAGGGGACATTTCATGTATTTTGGTTTTAGGGATGGTAAGTATGTTATACAAATAAAGTTTGCTTATTGACATGGTGACTATCCATCCATTCATAAATTATTCTGGGTTTATGTGACTGCTTTGAGGTCATGGAGTGTAATTCTAGTCTAAGAGATGGAGTTTTCTTTAGTGCACAGACATACTAGATTTCTGAGTCTGCAAAGCTGAGGGTATGTCTCATGGATGGTGGGAAAATTCCTAAGTATAATGGAAACTTTTCCTGGCGACATCTCAAAATCACTGTGTGCTTTTATCTCAACCATTTGTAAATCCATTTCCTCAAACCTATTATTATCACAGAAATAATTACAATGGTTTGTATAGTAACATACAATGCTTGTTATAGGTCCAAACCCTCATTTATCAGTTATTTGACCTAGGGCAAATGACCTAAGCTTTCTGAGTTTTGGTTTCTCCATCTTTAAAATGAGAACAGTAAGACTGAGCTCTTAGGATTGCTTTGAAGAGTAAGTATATTCTTATGATATGGTAAGTGTTCTAAATGAAAAATACAATTACAATCCTGAGTCATTTGTAATGAAAACTGATGCACCTTGAGACTGTAATGTTAAGTGAAATAAACACACGCACATTTAATATTGCATGGTTTCTCTTGTATGGGAAACTGAATCATTAACAAATACAGAGCCAAATAAAAGATGGCTAATAGAATGCAAGAAAATAAATCTTTCTCAAATGGGAAGGGGATCAAGTAATGGAAGGAGGGGAGAGAGACGGGAAGGAAACAGGCTGAAGGAAAAGAATGAAGATGCGTTATGTACATGTACCAACTCCACTCAAGGAATGTAAACATTATTTCCTGCAAACATGTGGTAATGAAAAACGAAATTTAAGAGGGGGAAAAAGACCCTGCAATGCAGAATATTTAGAAATGAGTGAAAATGGAAACAACTATTTAAGGTGGTCAAGGTTGAAATCAAAGGAAAGTTCATACCTTTGGAAACTTTTAGTTCAATAAAAAGTTAAATGAAATAAGCACACATTTTTTTGAGAAGCTGGTAGATAAAAAATAACTAAAAATTTTGCTATATGTAGAAAAATATGAAATTAGATAAGTAAGCTGAGAATCTGAGTAAATGTAGAGGAATTCTAAACATGAACCATGATTTTTTTTTCAAAATAATTCTTAAACCTTTCCAGAATGTATTTTCAAGACTTTTGTATGTCCTAATGTCCATGAAGATATAAAAGAAATTCAGTAACTGTTTAAATTTGACAATAGATGATAAAAATCCTGCCGCTTTTCAATTTTAAAAGGGTATGAATTATTTAAATAAATTGTTATGGTCTTGTTAACATTTCAAAGTACAGTTACAAGTAAAAGTTTGTATCATTCACAAGATGATTGAAGACTATTTAAAACTCCTTGTTGGAAGCTAAGAAAAAACACATTCTGAGGGTCAAAAACACCAGGTGTTGTACAAAATACAACAGAATGAAAACTGAGAAAAAATCTGAAATTAATACAGAATGTCATTTACTTTTCAAAATTTTCTGACCGAGTTGTTTTTTAAGTGTTTTGTTTTGTGGTAAATTTGTGGGGCACACCTGCTCACTTCGTTTCCAGGGGATGCTATTTTGGTCAATACTGAACTTTATTTTATTCCAGGATTTCTGCCAGCCTACCCCCTGCTGGTTAGCTTTCTTAAAGCTGTCAGAGCATGATAAAGCTACTCTTCCTCATGAATTTTGAAATATACATGTTCTCACTTTCTTCTATTCCTCCAGAGACTCAAATTCCAGAATAGATTGTCTTTCATCCTTAATTATCACTGTGAGGGGAAAGGAAAGAAGGGAAAGAGAAAAATATTAGAAAAGGAAAAATGGAGAAACTTCATCCTTAATTATCACTGTGAGGGGAAAGGAAAGAAGGGAAAGAGAAAAATATTAGAAAAGGAAAAAAATGGAAACAAAGTCTTTGTAAATAGGGGAAGGTGGAGGGGGTGAGGAGAGGCAGGGGATGGGGAAAAAAGTAAGAACCAAGATACATCATGTAAAGGTACAAGATTCCAATGATGAGTGTAACTGTATTGTATACCTAAAAAGTACCAATAAATTTAAGGAACAATAAATAAGTAAATAAATATCTCAGTGAATAGCAGGAAGAAGGGATAAAGGGATACAATATCAGGAGTCTTGAGTTTATTAGGTGATCCCATATTACATAAGAACTCTCTACTGTAGAGTTTTCTGAACTACGCTCCTTGGAGTGTTGTTCTTGGAGAGGTGAATCAGTGCTGAAATCCCTTTTTTGGATATTCATCATGATGATTAGCAAATTAAAGACTCAGAGAAGTCCTGAGTAATTAAGTCAAGTTATTTAAATATGTTATCAAAGCACACAATTTATAGCTGTCTTTCTGTTTGGCCTTGTTCTAGGTTAGGATTGGCCAGTGGATTTTCTTCAGCCAGTTACTTGGACACTAGATTTTGGATTTTACAGGTGTTTTTGTTTTTTTGCATGAATGTATATGCCTGTGCGTATGTGCATGCGTGTTTTTTTGCATTAGGCTATTTGCATTAGCGATTGTCCACTAATTTTATTTTCCCCTCCAATAACAAAGAGAATTATTTCTATTAATTTTATACCATGTGTGACTTCACTCGTTCTTTAAATGTTCAACCCAGAGATTGGGCTTATCCTCTTGATGAGAGTGATTGTGTGTGTGTGTGTGTATGTGTGTGTTTGGTGTGTACTTAGAGAGGAAGAGTGATCTATGAAATCAACTCTACTTGGCGGCCATGTGGCCATCTACGTGGGCTGTCTTTGCAGCCCCACTGCCTACGGTAAAGTTAGCAAAGATAGCTGTTAGTGAAGGGCATGAAGGAAGTTCTCTTCGCTTTCTAAGGACTGTTCAACCAGTTCTTCACTCTAAATTTACCACGACAGAACCCGGTCTTTACAGTGTTGATGGTAAAATGTAGGACACAGGTGTGATGGTATAGTTAGATATGAATCGTTCCTTAGCTGCGGGATAGGACAAGAAGAAGCATGAGAGTATTCCTTCATGCTATGAAGAATACCTCAGGGTCCAGTTTTTCTTCTCCTATGAACATTTCCCCCTCCTTCCCAGTCCTTTCACAGAGTCTGTCTCCTCAAGTCTTCATTTTATTTGCATTCCAGCCATTTATTAAGACGTAGAAATCTTCACGAATTTGGTAGATCATTGCTATCTTTGTTTTTGTCATTTCTGAAGATATGCAAGAGAAAAGGAAAAGTTCTGGTTCCTACAATCTCCTTGTGTGACAAGCATCCATGGCAATTTATCTTATGAAAAGCACCCTTGATTCCCCCCACCCCTTCGTATTTGGATGACTCTAGATCTTGAGGGAAAATTAGACCTCTTACACTTGGAGGGTTAATTGCCTGCTAACACTTTTTGGGCCTCATTTGTACAGAAAGAACACTTTTCTTGTTTGGTTCAAAGTCTCTGTTCCAGTAACCTGCTTGGGTGTAACAAATCACTCTAAAACTTAGTGACAATAAAACCCTACATATTTATTTTGCACATACATCTATAAGTGGGAGGGGCTCAGTAGTTACAACTCGTCATCACTTTGTTATAGTGGGACCTCAGCTGCCGAAATACGTGGTCTCTGCACTGGATCTGTCTTCTATGGTGGGCCCAGTGTTCTTACATGGCATCTCAGGGTTCTAATAGTGAAGGTTCCAAGAGATCCAATCAGAAGCTGCAAGTTTTTTTTTTACCTTGTCTCTGATATCATGTATATAATTTTTGCTATATTCCATCAACCTCATAAATAAGTCCTCATTCAATCCTGGGAGCGGGGTATACAAAGGCAATGGCATCAGGAATTAGGCATCACTGGGGGACCACCTTGGAGGCTGGATACCACATCCTCCTGCCATTCAACTTGAAAAGGAAAACTAATTTTTAAGAATGCAAATTGGACATTATTTGCCAAAAAGCCTCGATCACCACAAAGAAGAGATCAGAACACATGTTCTCTCGGCTCCTTCTAGCCACTGTGTTGTCTTTATTAAATGGAAAAATTGAATTAGAGGCAAAGAGTGTTGGTATTCAGCATACAATTTTATAGAAAGGCAGTCATGTTATCTACTCAAGATGTCAAAGAATCTATCTTCACTCTGTGCACCTGGTTTTGTGTGTTGTACCAGAGAGGGAGGAAATCCTGGATATTGGCTTTAAAATGATAGTAAGGCATCCAAACTACTATGAAACCAGCAGCCACCCTATCTTAGCTAACTTCATGCTGAGCAGTAACAAAAGAAATAAATGGAGACTAATGATGCTTTGGTTTGGGAAACAATGTTTACATGCACAGGATGCGTCCATTTAAGTCTTTTAAAAACCAATTGTTCTAATGATTTTATTGCTTTGTAACAAAATAAATCAAACTGACATTGATTTCAAGGTCACTGAGAATTGAAGTTTAAACAGAGTCATGACTACTAGGATGCAAGTTTGAATCTAGGAGGAGGCTTGCGGAGGAAGGCATCACAGTATGTTGTATTCTTGTAAACATTAGTACAAAAACAGAGTGATAGATTCCCCTAGATGATGTTAAATAGGCCCCACGTTCCCTACTTTCATAGGGATGAAGCATTAAGGATTCTTTTCCATTTTACATCTGCTAGGGTATAATGTACTTCCCTAAAGAAGAATGGATTCCGATTTCACTACACTTCTAAGATGCTGTTGTTGGTTACCTTCCGTGTTTCTGGCTCCCTACCACATGGGCTCAACCTAAAAAATACAGCCCTACAGGATAGCATGAGGGAGAGCGAGGCTCCCAACAGAGAAGATATAAAATGAGAACGGAGACTTTTTGCCACATTCTCTTTCCTAGCCCCACCTCCTTCAGGAAAAAGATTTTATATCAATAGATAGGGGCTCTGAGCCCCTCCTTACTCCTATTTCCCTTTCCTACTTATATCTATGTCCAGATCCTGCTCGGTTACCTTTATTGGTAACCAAAGAGGCAAGAATTGCTGTTTGCAGTTGTGGAGCAGGTCACAGCTTGGTGGTTTGAGCCAAGTCAACTGAGCCCTCACATTTAATCCACGTCACTGGGACTTATGTGGAGGACTGAAGAGAAATAAAGAACAATCAGTGGAGCACAAGGTAAGCCAGGCCTGCAGGTCAGCCCTGGACTGTTGAGCTAGGAAGGAGGCCTTCTTGATTTTCTGCAGAGACAATGCTTGGATTTGAAATGTGATGATGTTGATCGGCCATACCGGGGACAAATGTCTGGAACCAGAAGAACCCTTGGCTAGCTAGATCTGAACCTAGCACTAGGGCCACGCCACGACCAGGCGCACACTCCAGTGGGCTGACTCGCAGCACACAGACAGGAACAGAGTTGAATCCTGTGGGCAGCTGTGGTTGACGGCCTTGCTGCCACCACCAGGTGTGCACCAGCTCTGCCAACGACTCAGACTGTTCTGCACTTAAGGCAGCCTGAACACGTCGTGCGGCGGGCCCTCTGATTTGTGGCTGCTTCTCTCCCTCTCCCTGTTTCCTGCGGGTCCCGGTCAGTGTGGCAGCTTGTCTGGGGGGACACAGTGAGATGAGCAGACAGCGTCACAGCAGAGCTTGCCTACTGCACAAGGAGGAGGGACCCACATTCAGACATTTTCCAGGACATCGAGGGGGACAAGGCCTCTCTTCTTCCCACTGAGGACTCGGATAAAACCATCTTGTCCTTCTTCAGAAGTCACACAGATCTGAAAATCAACGAGGAAAAATCAAAAGATTTTAGTGTCAACAGGACAGCCAGAACCTGCAGCTTAAGTGGCTGCTCAGGGAGGTCACAGGAGAACCGAATTTGATAAAGGAGAGAAGCTTCAGGATGGGCAGCTGTGGCATTGTGAAAATGAGTTTTGATAAAAAAAAATGTGGAAAGTAGCATTTGAGATCAGGCCCAAGCATTGAATGTTTTTTGGGTTTTAGCTTTATGAATGAGGATTAATGAAATGGGGATTAATGATACCCCTCCCTGAGGAGTTACTGTAAGGACAAAAAACCTCACATGCAACATAAAATTTTCAACATACTACTTTAAAGAACCAAAATAATAGCTCTCATTCAGCAGGCTCCTATAACGGGCTTAGAATTTTTTATGTGACTGATATAATATCAGGAAGTCAAAAGGAACTATTCCTAGCCCCCAGCATAGAGAGGCTCACATCTGTCATATTCCAAAGTAAAGCACCTATGGTACAGCTGAAAAGCAGAAGGTGAAAAGCCATTTGGACACACTTGTCATGCACCATTTACATGCCAATTAAGTACATGTAAAGTAGAAGTTTTGGGGGGAAATGTTAGCGTGCTGTGAGTTTCTTATACTTGACCCGATTCCATAGGTGAAATAACGTCTTAGGTTGGGATTCCTAGAAGCAGTCTGCAAGTGACTTACTAAGAGAGTCCTTGAGAGAGGAGCAGGATGGAGTAGAATGAGGGCCCTAACAAGGATGTAAACATAGAGACAAACCCAGCCTGACCACGGAGCAGCTCTGGGCATGGGTTTCACTGCAATGTTGACTCACCGTGAAGCAAAGGGTGTGGGCATTGGCCCCAGACACTTATTAGTCACTGGCTGATTGCGAGTTGTTAGCAGCCGGTAAATACAGCAAGCTGGGAGATGGAGTGTGCCCACTTAGTGAAAGGCATGTGTGTAGGACCACCAACCTTTTCTAGATTGTGGGCCCTTGTTCCATCTTTAAATTTGGTAATGATGGACTAGGTGCTTCTCATACTTTGTTTTTCTGACTTTCCCTTGTGCTTCATTACTCCTCTGCTCCTTTTGGTTGCATCCAGTGCCTCAGCCAGATGCACTTGAGTGCATAGAAGAGTGGCAGTGATTAGACTGGTCCTACCTAGACAGTCTAGGATAACTCCCATCCCAAGGTTCACAATTGTAATCATATCTACAACGTCCTTTTTGAGTAAAATCTGGATTATTGCTGCTAACAAATTACCACAAACTTGGTGGCTTAAAACAACATAATTTATTATTTGATAGTCCTGGACTCACAAGTCCTAGAACCAAGGCATCAGTGGATTTGTATTCCTTCTGGAGGCTCTCAAAGAGAATGCAGGCTCCTAATTTTCTTGAACTTCTGGAGCCTGTGTACTCTGCTTGGCTCACAGCCCTCTCCTCCATCTCCAAGGCCAGCAGCAAAGCATCTTCTGATTTTTTCGCCCCTCACCACATCTCTTTTTTCATTCTGATTTTTCTGTTTTATAAGAATCTTTGAGATTAGGATGAGCTCACTCACATAATCAATGACACTCTCCTTGTCGCATGATCTTTAATTTAATCATATCTACTAGTTCCTTTTGCTGCAAAAGGTCAAATATTCAGTGTTTTAGAAATCAGGACAGCTTTGGGACACTGTTACTACTGTTACTCTATTTACCACAGGAGGACAGCATTAACAATATTGCAGGAAATAAGCACATAGTCCAAAAAGATAATATTCTTTGAGGCAGTAGGTTGAAGGAAGACTTGTCCTAGATGTTGTAAGGAAATAATCTCTGGAGGTAGAGATGATGTAATGAGATACAAAGAAATATAGTGTAGAGGAAGAGAGGCTAAGAAGAAAAGATTGTCAGGAAATAGACTGCATTAAAACTTACTTTAGAGGCAATGAAAAACTGAATTGAAACTTTAGAAAATGAAAATGAAATGAGGACTATCTTGAAACATTCTCTTAGGAGGAGGAGGAGGGAGATAAAGAAGTAGAAAATGATAAAGATATAAAACTCTAAGGAAAATATGCTAAAATAAAGATGATACAGCCCCCATGAATTATTAAGCTCCTGGAGAAGTATGGTAAATGGTAAACAGGGAAAAAACTTTGGCTGCCTAAGATGGAGCAGGTGTAAATATTCTTAAAAGAGAAAACTTTTTTTTAGTAGTATAAGAAAATGGGCAAAGTACATTAGGAAATTGTACCAGTGCTTGATAGATATATGATAAAACTTCAAATTTTTTTCAGGAAATGCAGAATAACATCAACTATTATTCATCTATCAAAATGACAGATATCAAATATACTCACATTTAATTCTGGCAAGGATGCAGTGACCTGAATAATTTCTTAAATAGCTGGTGTGGGTGTAAACTTGGTGAAACCTTTGTGGAGGTAAAATGGTAGTATATATAATAGACTGTAAAAGCCTTTTAAAAAAAAATCTGTTTTCCTTTAAATTCTAAAGTACATCCTGAGGAAATAATCAGATTTAGTGAGAAGGATTTAAAGACACTCATTACACTTATCAATAATAGTTTGAAAAATAAAAGCTCTGAGCATCAAGCTAGCGGGGTTATTTAAGTATATCCTTGTACATTTAGACTAGGGCTTGGTAAACTACTTTTGTAAAGAATTGAATAATAAATATTTTCAGCTTTTCAGGCCAAGGAGTTTCTGTTAGATTTACTCAATTCAGATGTTACAGAACACTGTGTTGCTAAATTCTGATAAATCTTTCATTAAAAACTTGGCCAGTGGACCACAGCTTGCTGCTCTTGATCTGCGTGCAGTTAAAAATTATCTTGGTGAACATGTAATGACTACTGTTAAAGAGTTGAAAAAAATAAATGGACTATAGTGTTAAATTATGAATTAAAGTAACAGTTTGGTATGAAATATGCCAGTTTTTATGCCAATAACAGTTTGATGGTTGAATTACGTGTGCTTGCTTTTTTTCAACCTTTATAAAATGTTGTTTTCTAAATTTTTCCATTATAAATACATTCTATTACCTAAAAATATTTTGTTTTTAAAAAAAGTTTTAGTATAACTCAAAAGACCAATGAAAATAGTTTTATAGGTATGATCAAAGTATGAATGAATTTAAAGAAATATTTTATTGTATTTAAAGTTATTTAATTAGGAAAGTTTTAAATTTTAACAAGTGAAGAGAATACCTCTGTGTCTGTGTAAACTCTGTGTTCATGACAAATGGATAACAATTCTATTTGGAAATGAGATCTCTATGAAAAAATAATATAATAATTATGAGACAGATTAACCCCAGAGGCAGAAATATGATTTAATAAAAGATATTTTATTTTCAGAATCAAATTTCTTTTATTTCCCTGCTAATGATCATTTGTCTCTTTTTATTTTTAGAATTATAAGTATCAGATGTCTATTTTCTGTTACTCACTTGGCAGTTTTAGGTAGGTGTGAGTGCTGCAGATGATTTCCCTGTTTGGGCTTTCTCTGAGGGATGGTGGTGGTAGGTGTCCGTGTACTGTGGTGAGGCTTCTACAGTGACCCCAGGGAACTCTCACAACCTCATCTAGAGGGAGTTGCTACTAAGCTGGCTTTACAGATGAGAATGTTGACATTCAGAGGTAATTTTGTCAAAATCACACAGGATGCAGTTCCATATTTGTGTGACACTGGAATCCGTGCTCTTCCTTCTACATTATGTTTCCCCTGTAAACAAGCATGTTTTCCAATCTCCCACCTAAATTAATTTAGGACACTAACGTGGAGGCGGATTTTGACATTTGTTTTTATAATAGCCATTTAAAATGTAGGGTGTTTTTTCAAGTGGCTGATGTATTTTAAAAGCTAGTTGCCACAGTAATGACAGACTGAAAATACAGAATTTCTATAAGGGTAGAGACCTCAGCACCTTTTGTTGATCTAATTGGAAGTGACCCCATCTAAATGGATAAAAATGCTTTTAGTTGGAAAAGAACAATTACTGAACTTAATGTGAGATGTTAGAAATGAAGGTCAGTTTTAAACTTTATCTTTGATTAGAACACCTGGGAGTTTGTACAAGAGATTGATTCTTGCTCTTACTACAGAAGTTCTGACTTAGTAGATCTGAGGTGGGATCTAGGAATCTGAATTTTCAACAAATCATTCTGATCCCCACGTGAGTTTGATTCAAGCGGTCCAGAGATCATTACTTAAGAAACACCATCCTGAGTAAATCATTGAGGATTTTGGCATTTTCCAAAAGATAAATGAAGACTTTTTTGGTTCCAAGTTATGCGGACATGTTACGCTGTATCTCAGACATGTGTAATTGAAGAGGATGAGTTGTTCCCCAGCAGACTGTCAGCTCAACCATGAAAATGCAGCATGCGGAGAATGCAGATGTGAGGCCCACTCCCAGAAAATGGTTTTGAGTCATATGCCAAGGAATTGGTAGGAACCACTGAGCAGATGTTCTGCTTCTGGAAACTGGTCAACTTGAGCAAATTTAAATTTACCTTCTGGTTTCGCCGATTTGTATTTTAATAACATAAAAACAATGCTTAATCTCAAATCAGGAAGTACAACATTATTCTGAAAGAAAAATCCAATGTGCTATCAAGACAATTTAATAACATTTGCCAACAAAGATGAACATACTTCACCATGATTTATTTTAATCAAAGACTTTACTAATTTTTGAAACTGGAAAGACATAGTTGGGTTAACTTGCAGAAGTGTGAAGGGTTGGCATGGAATTAAACTGGGAAGGATACCCATCTGCTTCATGGGGTGTGTCTGGCATTAGAGATGGGGTCTTAGTCTCATGATGGTGATTTCACTCAAAAGGGAGTCCTCATGAAGAAGAACATGTTTTCAAGGGGACCTTTGGTCCCAAAATGTTGCCTTTATGACATTTGCGTATGCTGTGAGCCATGCCGTGTAAATGGCTTTTTATTGTTCACTGGTATTACATATTGTTCAGGACACCTGGCTCAGGGGAAGGCATTGATTTGGAATTTGTAGACCTGTGTTTAAGTTCCACCCTGGCCACTTACCAGGTTCTTCCCACTCAGGAAGGCACATAACTCCAATGAACCTTTATTCTCCCTCAAAAAATAAAAACAATGAGTAACTAATGTACAAAATTCATCGGCATGTGTGTGACATCAAAGAAAATATTGTAGGTATATAAACTCTGCAAATATCTAATTTGTATGTAGAAGGTGATTAAATAATGACTAGTAAAGATGATATTTGTAACTATTATTATTGAGACTTGCTCTTTTCTTTTTCCATTTATCTCAAGCTAGAGAAACAAGATTCTCTTTCAAGTAGCAGACCCAAGACAAGTCATCACAATCCAAAGAGGAATACCCATAAGAGATCTGACATGGTTTTACAAGAGGCAGAGTGGTCTGTGTAATCTTCCAGGTACATGGAAATGGTGTTGCTCCCCAGATGTGCTATTGTCCAGCGGTCCCTCAGATGATTCTGCTCTTTCTAGGCAGATGATGCCTTCTGCTGTTACTTCACTGAGGAGTATGTAGAGAAATGGCATGCTGGGTTAACAGTAGTTCCATGAAGAACCACTTTGGGCAGAAAATTATTCCAGCATAGCCGTCCATGGCTTTTGGTCTCTTTAAATACAGAATCCCCCCAAAAAAGAAAAAAATAAATACAGAATCCACACATACAAATGTATACAAACGGGAAAAGAAAAATGTGTATAAATATTTTAATATTTATTATTAGTATTTGTATTGAGATTAATACAAGTTACCTTTGGTTTCTACAATTATAAGAAGTGCTGAAAGTGGTGGCCATCAGCTGAAAAAATGTACTGTTTTTCTTTTCCTGATGTGTGTATACATTTTTGTTTTTTGTACTGGTGATGGAACTCAGGACCTTGTACTTGCGAGGCAGGCAGCTAAATCCCTGGCCCTATAGTTTTACAAATGAACTCTGTATATCATGTCCAAAGCAGCCAGATTGAAGAAAGGTTGTATAATTTTATAAAATTCATTGTGTGCTGAAGTGGGTATACAATATAAGCAATTTTTATAAAAGGGGAAAATTCCAATTACAAGTAAAACTATAAAATTAGGGTGAAATCATAAAGCCCAGTGACCTAGTTTCTTAGGATATTAGAGATTTTAAAAACAAAGAGTCATTAGCTGGAATACATCTCTGTGGGTATTTGCACCAGAAGGAACCGCAATGATTGGATCTGCAGTGGAGGAACACGAGACGTGCCTGCTGGTGCGAGCATGCACACGAACGCCATGCGACACTGTGCAGCTTTAATTATTAGATTCGAAAGATAAGTCTGGATAGTTTTTCTTTCAAGTGTAGTTTGGGTAAATTTATACTGTGAAAGTAATTTAAATAGAAAAGAACAAAGTTTTTTTCCCCCAATTTGTACTAATTGTACTAATTTTAACCCCGTTCGTATCAATGTTTCACTCCACTTTACTGTCCTTCACTGTTTATAAAATCATCATTTAAGATGGTGATACAATATTTGAAGATCTCTCCTCTCTTGTAGGTCTCCCCTTACCTCCAAGTCAGGAGATCTGATTTGGCCACAAGTGTCAGGGGTTTATTACTGGCTAGTAAAGCTTCCTCCTTTCTTATGCCTCCCAGGAGGTCATCAGGCTATATCCTATGCAATTTTGCTGCCCTCCTTTCTGATCCTTTGTTCATCATAGGCTGCTGGTGTCACAGCATCCTGAGTCTCAGTCCAGCCTGTGGTGTTGACGGTGATGAGAGCAAGGGAGACAGGAAGCATAGTAAGGAGGCCTTTTAGGGTCAAATCTGGTACTCTATTTGGTTCATGCTGGCTGCTCCAAGAATAAAAACAGGGCTTTACACTGCATCTGCATCTCTCTCTCTCGCTCTCTCTCGCTCTCTCTCGCTCTCTCTCGCTCTCTCTTGTGTTCACCTTGGGAGAACAGTAAGTGGGACCTGGGTTCCAGCATTGGGTTTGTAAGATTATCATCATGCCACCAAAGCTGCTTTGGCATCTGACATTGTGCCCCAAAGGAAAGTATTATTGTTGACTTAATCAATCTCATTGTTGTGTGATTGTTACAAATTCTTACTATTATGAGCACTATTCTGATTACTGTCTTTTTGCAGAGAGATTTCTACCCCCTTGCATTAGATTACTTTCTTGGGTCCATTACAGAAAGTGGAATTAGTGTATTCATGAGGTTGAGCAATTTTGTGGCTCTTAATGTATGGCACCAAGTCATTATTCAAAATGAGTGGACTCATGTATCCTAGCATTCATGAAAAACCCAAATTGCATTGACTCCATTCCCCATCTTTGTTAAACTATATATGGTGAATAATACTCAAAATTATTGGTCTTATTTTGAATAACTTTTATTTATTTGAATATAAGTGAAGTGGGAATAACTTGTTTTTTAAAAAAAGGCTATTCATTTACATTATAATTTTAAAGATTCTTTTGAATAGCTATAAAGGAAAATTAAATCATTAGTTTTCAGTGTTGTTTATTAGTCATTTGGAGCCATAGGTGGGATATAAAATAGTTCACTAAGTAGGTTAAAATAGTTTTTAAAGACTATAAATCAGCTATATTCATAAAGTAATGACTGACTTTTGTGTATGTATGTGACTTAGAAATTACCTTTGAAGGCAATTCTAAAATAAGATACTTAAGATGTATTTGAGAAACTTTACCGAACAGAGATGCATTATAATTATTAATGCATTTTTCTTTTTTGTACTTTTTTAGTAAGGCAAGCCTCAGCACTTTCAATTAAGCATTCATTGCCTTGGAAAATATTCGAATTACTGTACCAAGAATGCAGAATGAGGGGCAAGCTTTTGGCTTCCAAAATTAGAAATTGAAACCCAGTGTGAGACTTTATTGGGAGAGAATAGAGTTTCTAATTTCCAATTGTACAAATCCTCTGCTAATATATCCTGCACAAAGTTGGAATTCCAAGCAGATTATTTTACCGTACAGTAAGAATACATAATTATAACATGAAGGAGTTCAGATAGCAAGGGATGGAAAAGAGCCCTCTGTTTGGTGGAAGAAGACAAAGAGAAGAAAAATAAGACAAAGATTTTAATAATGATTTTCCTGTTTCTTTGTGTCTATCAACAGTGCTGGCATGAGATAGGAAAGAGAAGCTTAAGGACATATAGAATCAGAGGGTTTAGGAAAAGTAACATCAGAAAGGATTCCAAATTCAGTGGCACTGGAGCAACATGCTATCAGACACCCCTAGATTAGATGTAGGAAAATGTCTGACACATGTCCCTGAGGTAATCCTTGCTTATCCATATTCTAAGTCTGATGCTATGATGTGATGTTGTGCTCTTCAGTGAACAGGTAGAGGTTTAGAGTCTGGAGAGAGAAACCTACAAGGGATTCTTGTGATTGAAAGCTAATATAACGAACCCTGGAATACAGCAGCAAGTGACACCAATGTGCTACCAAGAGACAACGGAGGCACATTGGTGGCACTAGTAGAGTCCAAACTAACTGCTCATCTCAGTGACTAGTGATCCTCTGAGAAAAGCTCAGGGTTTAGGTATTCTCACCCTGCCAACATAAAGCAATGCATATTTCCTCTTGTGAACAGACTCCAAGTGAGCTTCCTGACATTTGGGTTTGCATGTTCAGATTCCGATTACACTAATATGGTTTGGAATAAGAATATCTTTTCCCAAACTAAATACACTGTAACCTCACTTATCCCCATTGCTGAGCACTCTAATATTTGTTTTGGTCATACTTGGCATGTTTTTGTGTGCTGTACTCACCTGATTCTCCTTCAGCGTTATCTGTCCCTGCTCCTTACACCCAATGAAGGTTCTAACACATCTAAAAATCTTCTCATTTTGTTGTACTCTCTGGACAAAGTTGGCTGGAAAGAAGCCAATCCTGTCTTGAATTTTTCCCTGAAAGGAAATAGGAAGTATTCATTTGCAATTGTAGCACTTATTGTAATTACCAAATATAATTACCAGCCTTTTTTTTTTTTACTGAATAATCTTTATTTTTAAAGAAAGAGAAATACTTACTTTCCACCAGTCTTCATTGGAATCCTCTAGAAGAGTAATCATGTCTCCTGGCCTAAAATGTAAAATGAACGAATTGGGTGAAAAAGCAAAAAAAAAAAGAGGGGATGGAGTATATGATACTAATCTAGACAGCTAAGTTAGAAATATTACAGGCATCCAGACAGACCTAGGCCCTGCAAGAAGTCAATGCAGAATAAGAACACAGCACAACTGTTACTGGAGGTACATTTGTTGAAGGCTGGGTTTCCAGACAAAGACAACTGACTATATCTACGCACTTTCCCTAGGGATGGACGGCAGTGACTGGTGTTCTAAATAGGCATCAGCCTCTCACCTCCTGTGTGTTCTTCTAGATTCTTTCTTATATCCTTACATTTATACGTAGATATGTATATTTGGTTTTTCTTTAGTATTGACATGTAGAGTTTGTCATCGATATAGTCATTTGTATCTTCTCCTTGCCTTCTTGGAATGTAACACACTTTTGCTGACTTCCGCTTTCTGTGCCTGCCACCTTTTATGTTGGTATGATTTGGAATTTTATCATCGGCTTTTGTGCCTGTGTGTTTACATCACTTACCAAGAATTACGTGGATTCAGCTGAGGACTTTAGTGTTTTTGTTTTCGTTGGTGGTGCATTTTAGATTTGTTATTTGCTACTTGTTTCCTTTCCAACATCCAGGTGTGTGTGTGCATGCAGTTACTTTTTACTCCTCACTTACGTGAGGTTTTTTTGTTTTTTGTTTTGGTATGGGGATTGAACTCAGGACCTTGTGCTTGCGAGGCAGGTGGCAGAACCACTGAGCTAAATCCCTGGCACTTATCGGAGCTTTTACAATGTGAAAGCTCTAACTGTTCATCTTGGAAAAAGTCTCTATTATATCTTTTACTCATTTCTCTCATCCACTTCTCTCTTCTTCCTCCTTTTCAGGACTTCCGATTAGAATATCTTTCACCTTCTGAATTCATCCTCCACAGCTTTTGTCTTTCTGATACATTTTTCCATCTACTTTCTTTCTCTACTAAAATTTTCTCAAATTTGTTTTCATAATAATTTATCTTGTGTCTGAATTCATCTCTTCTATGAAAATATGATAATCTATGACAATCTCTTCTATCATAATAATGAGTTTAAGAAAAAGTCTAGTAAATTTTTAAGGAGAAAAATTTAATTTTCAAGGGTTTCAAGGTCTCAAGGGTTTTCTCAAAGTTTGTTCTCATTTATTTTCTGAAAGATTTTTGAAAGTTACTTTCTGTTATGGATATAATACTATAGATCTTTCTGATATTATCATGTTTTTTAAAAAATATTTCTTTCCTTTATTGAAATGTTTAGGATTAGTTGGTCTGTCCTTACTACTTCTCCTTCATCTCAAATAATTTTCTTTGACATCTGGTATTTCTCTGTTTTTCTCTTTATAGTAATGATTGAAAAACAGCCCGGTGCATGTGGCCAGCTGGGCAGGCTTCTCTGCCCCATCTGGTCTGCCTTGGCTTGGCTTTCTCTCCCATGTGCAAGGGCTTTGCTTAAAGGATCTCATTTTTGTATACTTGAAAATATAGTAGACAAGCAGTCTGGGGCTTCTACTACTCACTATCTCAGTGGTGAAACAAGAAGGGCTTCCTTAATCTGGGTGAGAGAAGTTAGTTTAAGCTTTTTTTCCTCCTAAGTAGAGCCACCCTTTCCTCTTTTCCTGCCATTTAGAATGTCAGGAAGTCAGTAATCTCAGCACAATTTATTCTTATTCTTTTTTAGTCATTTGTGCCCACATGAGCACCTCCTTAAGCATTGGTTCCCTTCTTAGACATTAGGCCTCAAGATTTATAAGACTCAGAGTGGATGCACTGTCACTTCCATTTTATTTTACTGGCCAGTGTAAGTCATAAGGTCAGCCTAGACACAAAGAAGTGGGTAAGGATCTCTACCTCTCTGTGAAAGGAACTGAATTCTCATCAAAGGGCATAAATATAGGGAGGAGAGAAGAATTCGGGCCATCAGTGCCATCAGTGAACTGCAGACATCCAATACTCTTCAATGAACTTGTTCAATGTCTTGCTGAATGGACTTTATTTATTTTTTTTAGCATTCTTTAGTTTCTGGTCATCTTCATTGCTTTCATGCTAATTGTATTTTCTGTGGCCTGCCAGGATATTCCAAAGATTTCTGGTTTTATCATGGAATTTTTTTTTTCTAATACTGCTATGGAAGTAGTCCTTAAAAAAGATATTTTTGGATATTCTAAGGAATTGAGGCAAGAGAAGAAATAGAGTCGTGTGCTCATTTTGCTATTCTGATTCAATCTCCTCTGCTGTCATTTTCAATTCTCAGTTAATAGCTATTTTCACTGGGGATTACAACATAACAGGGCTGTACCACCTGAAGCATTAAACACTGCTGGCATTTTGATATTTCAACAGTCACAGTTATGTGCTGATGCTATAGAAAGCGAGATGGATGAAAATCACTCTTTCTCAGGTAAGGGATTTAATTAAGCAGCAAGGATGAAAGTCAATGGAGAATAATCTTTTAAGCTGCAGCAGATTTTATTTAACCCAGTAACCTAAGAAACCATGTGTCAGTAACAAATACAATGACTCTGCTGATGGCTTGGTAGGAAACTGTAAGTAGGGCATAAAGCTGGAGACTGGGGGAGGTATTTTCCTGAAGTTGAAGGAAGATGCTGCCTGAATCTGACCTCTGTTTTTATAGTCTAGCTAGAGACTCACTCTTTAATGTTTTCAGCAGTGGACAGTCCTCAAATGTATGCCCCATGTTAATTATAATACATATTAGAATAATGTTCTCAGTGGAATAGAAGCTATAATTTTATGAGAAATACCAGACATAATGCTAACAGAGTGATAAGGATTCTGTTTTTTCCTATAAAAGAACCTATCAGGATCAGAAAATGGCTTGGTGAGTGAGGAGAGTTAAATTCATCCATTTGTTCTTTACTTTGTTTCTTGTTTATCCAGTTATTAAACACATATTTACAGAGTGCGGATTCTGAAAGAGCCATTTTACCAGGTACTGAGTAGACTTTGGTGAACAAAATCTTTGCTGGAACTAATATTCTAGAAAGACAATAAGCAAAAAGCAAAACATCTAATAACTATCTGATAATATTCTGCATATTAATAATCAATAAATATACAATTGCAAGTTGTCATAAGGACTATGAAAGAAATAAACAGGACGTAGCCATAAAGAATAAGAATGGATTCCTCAGAGAGATTAGTGAAATAGTTTAAGCATCTGACAGGGACAGTTAATGCCTTTTTCAGTGTAAAGAGGATCTTTCTCTAGAGTAGCACTTGAGTTCAAAATAGCAACTCTCTAACAGCTGAGCCAGCAACCCTGTGGCTCATGGAGTTTGTACCCCCTCTACTCATTCAGGCAACACCCAACAGTCAGCACTTTTTCCCTCAGGACCTGCATTCAGACCCAGAGTTCTTCTCCACATTGGGCTCCAACTGGTGCATATGGCATGCAAGATAAAGCCATTCTGTGATATAATTTTTGTTTCAATATGCTGACCCAATTTTAAGGGCTGGGATAGAGACCTGTCAGTTTCACTTCTTAAATCCAAACACCCAATCCCCTTTCTTCCCAGGGCTCAGCCACTCTGAACCCCTACGCATCCATTTTAACCACCTATTCTGGGTCCAGGTACCAAAAACTGCGGGACCTATGCTCTGGAGCTTGTGAATTTATTTAAATTAGCCAATATACAGGGAGCCCTAGCAGACTCCATGGATAGTCACATGTCAGCTGCCCCTGTAGCTCCAGTTTCCTGTTATCCTGACTTCCAGACACAAACAGCTGTGTGGCCCTTCCTAGCCCTCACCAGTATGGGTTTTCTTCTTAACTTAGTTCTTTTCTCCTATCACGGTATTGGGATACTGAGTTCTGCTATGTAAAGAATTAAATTAAGACATTGTGCCAATCAGTTCCACACTGAGAGCCTTGTCCAGGGTCCCAGAGGGAAGGAAGCCTGTGCTTATAATTCTCCTTACCCTGGTTATTCTCAAGATGGGCAGTGCATAACTGTCTACAGTTGCTTCACACTTCTGGGGCTGACAGGCCTACTTCCATGAAATAATTATTTATTCATCTTATTACACTTCAAATATTATTCAAATTATCCCATTCTAGCCTGTCTCTTTCTTTCAGGTGACCTTATGTTCTGATACATTTTGTATAGGTTTTCTATGATTAATTTCTAAATTCTGGGGACCGATGTGATGAGATCCCAAATAATTACAATATGTCCCTTTTGCTTAACTCAACCAGAGTATTAAAGTAAAAATGCTGCTTGCACTGTACAATGATGCAATTCCTAACAATAAAAAGACCAGTTTCTTATTTAGTGAAGATAGGTCAGAGCACCACAGCTGGCATTTTCCTTTTCTTTGCTCAGTAAAATTTGTCATAGGTCAAGAGGAAGATTTTTCAGGTTGGTTATACCACGATTGATGGAAAATCTTGAAATGGTGAAGTTGCTGTGGACAAGTAACAAGAATGGAAATAAACTAACTAAAAGTAGGAATAGAATTATGGCTTTCTGTTGAGGAGGACGGGGTTTATTTGTGAGTGTGTAAGTGCCTGTGTCTATGTGCATGTGACATTAATGGCTGCTACCTGGGTTTGTTCTCAGCAGTCCCTTTGCCGCTCTCATTCCTCATTTTTCCCCAGAGGTATTAGAGCTCATCTCTTCTACCACCAGTAAACCAGCTTCAGGGAATTGGCAGATGCAGCATGCCTGGAGCAAATGAATAAGACAAGCTGAGCCTGGCTAGCTACAAGGAACCTTCTGTAAAGTGTTATGCAGGCAGTTTGATGTTCCAAGGGTGGGAGGTCCTGGAAAGAGGAATTTGAGTTGATCTAAGGCCCCACTGCCCAGCCTCTTCACATTCCCCATGTAGGACACAGGTTCCTAGTGGGGTCCTGATACCTCCTAGGTGAAGTCACTGCTTCTGAGAAACACTTTCTCCACTGTCTGAGATGACCTAAGACCTCGGACTGGCCCTACTTTAGGAAATACATGATCA